CCCGCCCGTCTCTCAGCGGCCCCTCCGCGTCCCCGCCCGTCTCTCAGGTGGTCCCTCCGGCGGCCCCTCACCCGCCCTCGGCTCCATGGCGACGCCGTCAATGCGCGACACCTCACCCAGCGGAGTCCGGCACGAAGTGACGACACCTGCGCGCGCCCTCCAAGCGCCTGCGCACTGGCCTGGGGTGGGGGTGGGGGCGGTGGCGTAGCCGCGGAGGCCTGGTGGGAACGTTCCGCGGCGCGCATGCGCATGCGGCTCCGCGGGCCTTGCGAAGGGAGGTGGGCGTGGGGCCTGAGGGTTTGTTCTCCGAGCAGGCCAAGCACAGAGGCCCTGCTCCGACGCGCGTTTGCCGGGCGCTGGGGAGCTACCGAGTGAACAACCCCTGGCCTGTCGGAGCCCACTGCCAATTCAAACACAGCTACCTCCTCTTCTATTCCCCAGAGGCCCCCTACTCCGGGAAGCCGGCCTGGATTGCTCCTCCATGCCGCGATCCCTCTCCTGTGAGACCCTACAAACGTTAAATGCCACAGTTTATTTTCTGTTTCCTGACTTCCCCCTGCATCATCTATACACACACACACACACACCCCTCCTAAAGTGCTAAACAAATAAATAATTCTAATAAAAAAGGCTGGCTCCCGAGAAGCTAGAAGATTCCCTTCCCCCTGGGGAGCCGCTCTGCTTCATTCGGTCCTTTACAGGCCCCCTAGGGCCTCCCTTGCTTATCGTCACCGTGAGACCCGGTGGTCACTTTCAGGCAGGATGGTGATTTCAAGTCTGGTGTATTCTCTGGGGCTCAGAACACACATCCCACAGTCTGCAAATTCGGTGAAAAACATATAGCCTCCTCACCTCTTTCTCTCCCTGCCCTGTCCAAAAATCAAAGCCCTGTCTGCACCTCCCAGAGAGCAGTCGCTTCTTGCAGACTCTGATAATGAATCCTTTTACCCTACCGGGTTAATTAAGCTTGCAAGGTGGTGGTATAAGAAGCTAAAATTTCATAGACATTGAGTCATGTGTTCAGAAGTCATGCCTTCGTGCATACGCTATTGACTGTGTATATATAGTTATGAAATTACATAAATGTATGTTTCCATATAGACTATTTTTATTTATATAGAAGTTTGTATTTTAACGTTTTAAGTTGACTCTAATTTCCAAGACGCTAACCCTAATCTTAAAGAGGCAGCAAATTAATGGGTTAAGAGATCCTGATTCTCTCACTTGTAGCTGAAAATTTGTGGTTACTTAAGATCTCTAAACCTAAGGTTCCTCCCCTGTAAAATGGTGATATTAACAGTACCTACCCCAAAAGAGGATTAAATGAGATGTCACAGGCAGAACATCTTGGCACACAGTATGCATGCGTTATATTTTCCCTTATTTATTAGGGAGGAAAGTCTTGGACAAGTCATACGTTCGTTCAATAAACACTTCTTGTGTACTATTATGCCCCAAGGTACCCTGCCAGGCACTGGGGCTGCAGAGAGAAACAAGACAGAGTCACTAGCTGCCTGGAGAGGTAGGACATGTGTGGCAGACATGAGACTGCTAAACAAAAGTCAGCTCACCCATCTGCCTGGGTCCAGGGAAGACTGAACTCCCTGCCCCAGGGGTGTGTTGGGGCCACATGATCTGTCCAGGCCGATGAGTTGTGAACAGAAGTGCCATGTGTCACTTGGACACTTAATTCCCAGGGCAGAATCTGCCTCTCCTGCCCCTGCCAAGGTGACAGGAGGGGCAGCCTTTGAAAACCCAGGCTCCTGAGTGACACCCAGCTGGGGTTGGCTCAAGATGAAGTCAGTGAGACTCCGGTTGTTTGTTACTGCAGCATACACCAGCCTCAACTGACTGTTACACTGTGTAAGCCAACCAATTGCATAGCAACATGCATGAGAGCAACTGTATAGAACTGGCATGAAACGGGCAGCAGAAAGAGGTATGCAATTGACTCTCTTTAAGAAGAAACATACGTATATCTTTAATATTCTGTTTCAGAAACATCTACAGTACTCTATTGGATTTCTTACAATTTTGATGGTATTAATTGTGGTGATGCTTGAATTATACAGATAGATAAGCTCCTTAGACAATCAGCGTTTGGTTGTTATATTTTTAAAACAACCACAAGTTAATGTGATAAACTCCATGGTTGTTCAAGATTGTTTTCCAGAAACTTCTAGAACACAAGGAGAGGGGACATTGGGGGCCAAATTAGGCCCCTACATTAGTGTTTGCAATACGGAAACCCTAATTTCCTTCCATGGAAAGATGTTTGCTCTGTGTCACATCCCTTTTTAAATTTCCAGAGTAACAAAGATGGTTTTCTCCCAATCTTTTTCTTTAATTTTGAAAAATTTCAAACTTAGAGAGAAATTGCAAGACCAATAAACAATGAATACCCACATACCATGGGTTCAGCAATTGTCCGCATTTTAGTACATTTTAGATAACTTTCTCTTTCCTTCTCCTCTCTGTCCACACCCTCCCCCTTGGTTGAATCTTTTAAAAGTTGCAGAGATGATGAATATCAGCTCTAAATATTTTGACATGCATCTTTTAAAAACAAGACATGTTCTCACTTGACCACATATAATTATCACACTCAAGAATTTTAACCTTGATAAAAAATTATTACCTAATACACACATGATATTCAAACTTCCCCAGGTATTCTCCTCTATTAGTGTTTTTAAAAAATTTCCTCCATCTAGGATTAAATATTGCATTTAGTTGTTCAGTTTCTTTAATCTTTTAACCAAGAACAGTCCTTACCCCTGTTATTTTGTTGTTTATGGTGCTACCAATTGTGAACGGTGGTTTGGACAGTTTTCATCAGGCACACACTTTTTGTCCTGGAAAAAATTTCTAGGAACTGGATTGCAATGGATTTCTAAGAAGCAGCATTGGCTCTGATGAACTCAAGGGTTCATCAGATCCCAAGTAGCTTTCGGAAGACTGAGACGGCTCTCATTTCTGGTCCCTTTCCCTAAAACCTTATGAGCCCAGGAGAGAAATGTATTGAAAATAGTGAGGAGAGACACAAAAATCCTTTCACTTGTCTGATCTGTTGTTCCTCAAAAGCAGAAGCGGCTGCAGAGGTGTTGTAAGTCTCCCTTAACTTTGGTTAAAGTTAAGGGTTGTTAAAGCCAATGTCAGGCACACACGTGCAGCCCAAACATTTTTGATGAGTTCCCTGAAACTCACGCCACACATCGGGCAGAAAGACAGCTGTCCTGGGAAGACACGAGGAGAGCAATTTGTTAACAACTCTGGCAAGAATATAGCCAGACTTGTAGACACCTAAGAGGCGCAGGTTTTATTTGCTTAAAACCTCAGCGAGTCTCCCTAGAGGGGATTTCTTGCTCCCCAAGCAGTTTCAAAGACACTTCTGTTTTCCAACACATCATGTTCTTGACACATCGCAAAACCGTGGAAAATGTTTTGTATTTTCTTGATCGACTCGCCGCGCACAGTTTATTTACCTTTCTCTCTCAGAGATTTTGAACTTTATTCCTGCCATGCAATGCTAAGGTGCATCCATAAGGTGTCAGCACCTCCATTGTAACCAGAATGGTTGAGTTTCCCCCCCACCCCGCCCCACTATTTCAAGAGTAGTTCCCTGATGGGCCTCAAGGTGGCGCCAACACCACAGGTCCGCCCGAGCCGCTTCCAGGTGCAGGAGCCCGCGGCGCCCAGGCAAGGACTCTGTGCGGTGGGGCGCGGGGCCGGGGGTGGGGGAGTGACTTGAATATCTTCTGCCTTTATCGTCGCTTATTATTCTACTAAT